TAAAAAGGAGTAGTATCGATAAGTCGGTTTTTCGTTTCAAAAATTTATTTTCACACTGAGTTTAACGTTCACAATAACAAGACGTTCTCTGATCATTTATTGAATAAATCTTTGTCGAATTAGTCGGCGGAGAAGTCGAGGTGATGCGTTCAAAGCCTGCAGGGAGAGACTAAAATTGACGGAAAGGGTCAAAAGTCGGCAATAACTATTAAATACGATCACGATACTAGTGAATACAAATCGTTTGGATCGTCATCGTCCTCGTCATCACTTGAATCAGAGGTTAGCACAGTATAATCTTGGGCATCCGTGAGTGCCGTATAATACTTGGACGGTCGGGGTTGTAAATGATGCGGATTGTATCTTGCAAAGGCCAGATAATATATAATCGACGCTGTATGTGCGCAGCAGCCGACAACACGACTGCCGTTCGGACATTTGCAGTACCAGCCTTTAATAACCCTTTACTGCATTTTTATGATGGGATTGTATCTGTGCTCTTAACAGGTCCGGTCGTTGGTTGGTTACCTTCACAAGAACAGAGCCATCGTCGTTCAAATGCTTCGTTGTATAAGCTTGAGCCTGTTTTAACTGATATTTTCCTAATGTAAGTTCTTGTAACCGATCAAAGTTCATTTTTGGGAAGTTAGCAATCGCATCGGTGGCATTCATATCTTTTTTTTTGCGGTATAATTGCATGTAGCAGGTGTTGTGTAAAGGTAGATCCAGCTCCAACAAGTTGTTGTTAATCATGTAATTTAATAAATCACCACATTTATCGAGAGAACGATATTTTTCACCTTTCCGGAACAACTGTTTGCAGAGTGCACAACTGTGTTTAATATTTGTTTCGGCCAGTAGAATGATATTACTAATTTACTATGTGCTTTCTCACTAAAAGTTTGAAAGTCGCCCTGACGAGAACGCTTGGGCTTAAATTGTAAAAGCTTACACCAAATATACGGTGTCTGATCAATTAATAATAATTAAGCAGGGGGAGAGGCTTAAAATAATTTGAATTTGGATAGGTAGTTTTGTGATATTTTGTTAATGTGGATTGATACTCTGAAAATTGCTTTGAAATTGTGTCGCTTCCGGTCTCTCCTCGACCCATTTCACAAAGACAGCTAAAAAACTCTGACGCAGCCAGTTTCGGTCGCTGTCCTAAAGGCCTCATCACGTGGATTTGGAAAGAGAAGACCTCAGTTATAATCCAAACATGATGGAAGACATCTACAGCGCATGTAAAAAGTCTTTTTCAAATTTTTG